ACTTAAGTAGAATATTATTTTATTTATTTAATTAGTTATTTATTTTCCTTAATATTTAAAGTATAAGAAATGTTGCCTTAGATTAATGCCTTGCAAAATAATAAGTGCACCAAAAAGATTGACATGTCCTATAGAGTCTAATTCAAAGTGGAAAGAAGCCTAGAACCATTTAGTTAAGGCTCATGTGGCTAAGCCTTTTAAGTCTCTGGAGGTAGGAAGTCATTTAGCCTGTGGACTTTATTTCTATATTTTCTAACATTCAACTAAAAGCTGACCTTTGAAGCTCCTCTTCTTCAGTTTTCAGCTGTTCCAGTTCTACAAAAAGAAAATAAAGCATAAAAGAGACACTAGCAGAATGTTGCTACAAAAATCATCTATTTTGCTGAAAATTCTGACTTAATCTCACCTAATATATAAATAAACCCTGAAGGGCTTTCCTCACTGGATTGATCTCCTTAACTAAGTCACTGACCTTTCTCTGCAGCTCTCATTTCAGAATCCCATTCTTCCATAAGATTGCCTTTCTCTTCACTCTCCAAATTCTTGGTTTCTAAAGAACAAGCATTAGAATAACTCAGTCAAAAATAATTAAACATCAGAGATAAAAAGAATAAATAGGCATGGTGGTACACACCTTTAATCCCAGCACCCAGGAGGCAGAAGCAAGTAGATCTCTGTGAGATCTAGCCCAGCCTGGTCCATAGGGCCAGCTGGGGCTACAGGGAGACACCGTCAAAATAACCAAACCACCAACCAACCAACCAACCAACCAACCAACCAACCAACCAACCAACCAACCAAAGAATAGATGGTCCCAAAATAAAGTACTGGGAGTATTTCATAAACACCCGTTGTTCCCTACCAATAAAGCACTGAACTGTAATTTTTTTAGACTTCAGATGACAGATAAGTGAACTCTGAGCTAACGACAGTGATCTCCCCTACTTAAAAAAAATTTTTTTTGATCCTTTTGAGACAGGGTTTCCCTGAAGCCCTGGCTGTCCTGGAGCTTGCTATGTAGACCAGGCTGCCCTTGAACTCAGAGATCTGCCTGCCTCTGCCTCCTGGGCACTGGGATTAAAGGTATGTACCACCGCACTCAGCTAAAAATATTTTTTAAGATTTATTTATTTTATGTGTGTATTTTGCCTGCATATATGTATGTGTACCATGTGTGTGCCTAGTGCCTGTGGAGGCCAGAAGAGGACACTGAATTCCCTGAAACTGGAGTTACAGTTGTCAGTCATCACCTACATGGGTTCTGGGTAGTCAACCCAGGTCCTCTGCAAGAACAGTAAGTGCTCTTAACTGCTGAGCTATCTTCTCCAGCCCCTAAAAACTTTTTTTTTTTTTTTTTTTTTTTGGCCTTTTTGAAACAGGGTCTCCCTGCAGCTCCAGCTGGCCTGGAACTCACTATGTAGACCAGGCTGGCCTTGAACTCAGAGATCTGCCTGCCTCTGCCTCTACTGGGACTACAGGTATGTGCCACCATGCCCAGCTAAAACTTGTCTATTATTATTATTATTATCATTATTGTGTCTATGAGATGCGTGTATATGAGTGTGGGTGAGCCTGTGGAGGACAGAGAACAACTTTCAAGAGTTCTCTCCTCCCCCAAAAGGTTCTAAGGTTCAAACGAGGTATCACTGGCCCTCCTCTAGTATTTTGTTTGAGAGTCTTGCTATATTGCCCAGGCTGGCAACAAACTTGTGATCTTTCTCCCAAGTAGCTGGGCATTACAGGTGTGTGACTATGCCCAGTTTGCCTCAAGTTAGTTTTTTGTTTTGAAAAATTTTTATTTTAGATACAGGATCTTGCTGGGTTTGGTAGCGCACACCTTTAGTCCTAGCACTGGGAAGTAGAGGCAGGCATGGATCTCTGAGTTCAAAGCCAGCCTGGTCTACAAAGTGAGTTCCAGGCCAGCTGGGGTGATGGAGACCCTGTCTTAAAAAGATCAAAAAAAGGAGGAGAAAAAAAAAAAAAAAAAAAAAAAAAGAAACAGGATCTCATGTAGGTCTCAAACCCCATGAAGCTAAAGCTGGGGATGACTTTTCATCTTCTTGCTTTCATCTCCCAAATACTGGGATTAAAGGCATGTGCTACTGTGCCCACTTTAAGTTTAAAGTTTAACTCAAAAACAGCTTTTTTTTTTGAGACTATGTTGTCATTGTAGCCCCAGCTGGCTTCCTACTTCCTATAGGCTAGGCTGGCAATCATCTCACAGAGATGGGCTTGCCTCTGAGTGCTGGGATTAGAGGTGTGTACCACTGCACCTGGCAAAATCTTATTTTTTTGAGACAGAATTTCACTCTGTAGATCAGGCTGATCTGGAACTCCCTATGGATACCAAGTGGGTCTCCACTTGAGGCAATCCCCTTGCCTGCTTGCAGCTCCCGCAGTGCTTGGGATTACAGGTTTGCACAATGATATCCAGTTTGTATTTAACTCTTCGGCTATTCAAACCCAATTTTTATACCAGTTAGTGCTTAATACACTATGGCTGTTCATTGTTCTTTAAAATATTCAAAACTCTTTTAAGAGATGCCATCCTGCTGGGAGTGGTGGCGCACACTTTTAATTCCAGCACTCGGGAGGCAGAGGCAGGCGAATCTCTGTGAGTTCAAGGCCAGCCTGGTCTACATAGTGAGTTCCAGGCCAGCTGGGGCTACAGGGAGACCTTGTCTCAAAAAAAAAAAAAAAAAAAAAAAAAAAGCATATTATAGACAGGGAATAAAAAAAAAAAAAAAAAAAAAAAAAAAGAAGTCTCTTCTGTACAGGGAAGCCCTAGGTACCTGGCTTCAGATTCCTGATCCTCCTAATTCCACTCCCACAGGCTGGGATTCCAAGTGCATGTCACTACACTATGCTTAATACTTTTTGTTTAATGCCCATATAGAAGTTCCATAAGGAGCTGGGCAGGGTTGCCCACATACCTAGGAGGTGGAAGCAGGAGGATCAGGAGTTCAAGGCCAGTCTAAACTATATGAGATCCTACCTAAAAAAAAAAAAAAAGCACAATTAATGCTTGTTTGGGGTCTCTAGCGTATTCTTACCACTGAGTGCCATACCAGGTACATAAGAGGTATATAACCCAACAAATTTTCTTTTTTTGGTCTTTTTGAGACAGGGTTTCCATGTAGCCCCAGCTAGCCTGGAACTCATTATGTAGACCAGGCCAGTCTTGAACTCAGAGATCCACCTGCCTCTGCCTCCTGAGTGCTGGGACTAAAGGTGTGTGGCACCATGTCTGGCTTCCAGCAAATTTTCTGAGTAATGAAAGAAGAAAAAGGGAGTTGGGCTGGGTGTGGTGGTGCACACCTTTAATCCCAGCACTTGGGAGGCAGAGGCAGGAGGATCTTTGTGAGTTCAAGGCCGGCCTGGTGTACATAGTGAGTTCTAGGACAGCTGGGGCTACAAGGAGATCCTGTCTCAAAGAGAAAAAAAAAAAAAAAAAAAAGGGGAGTTGGTCAGTGTGACCTAAAGAGGAAAAATGGCCATTGGGTTTTTCTGTTTACTGTTTGCTTTCTTTTCTTTTTTGGGATCCTCTGGAGCTGGAGTTACTGGCATTAGGACTGCCTGACTTGGGCGCTGAGAATGAATTCTGGTCCTCTGCAAAAGCATTTCTCTAGCCCTGAAGCTTATAACTGAATTATGAAGATAAACTGAACAAAATGAATACAAGTAGATGAGACAGTACTAACAAAATGATCATTGATGCTCAAGGGAAACAGAAAGGAGAATGCACTGGTATAAACTCAAAGAGGCTAGGGATACAGTTCATTGCAGGAAGAGGACAACCATCTTTATAAGGCCCTTGGTCCAATCACAACCAAAAGAAAAGAAAAAGAAAAGGATGAATAGGAAGAACAAGATTTGATTGAAATGTACAATATGTAAAGGACTGGAACAAATAAGAAAGGAAAGTGTGAAATGATTGGAGAGAATGTTATGTTGATTTTATTGCTTATGTTATTTCTTTTACACAGACAAGGTCTAGTTATAGAGCCTAGACTGAACTTTGAATCAAACTTGGATTCTCCAGCTTCTTCCTTCCAAATTAAACAAATCGCCACACCTAGTCTAAGCTTGGGAATCTGGAACTTATTTTGTAAAAAAAAAAAAAAAAAAAATTTTAGGGAAGTAACATAATGAACGTCCATAATTCTCAATCTAGCAGCAGGCTGGACTGTAGAAGATAGAATGAATTTAAGAATGGACAAAGATTAGTTAGAAGACTTAAAATGATACATTTCAGAATTAATGAGAGCCTTAATGGAAAAGGGTTTTAAAAAAAAATACAAGAGACTACATGCGTGCAGGCAAAACACTCATACACATTAAAAAAAAAAGTTTTAGGAAGAACTATCAGCAATGTCAAATAATGAAGGACAGAGAACGAAATTTGATGAATATATAGAATTTTGTGATCTTTGAGAAAGCAAAACTAACAAGCTGGGATTATAAGAGTCCAAAGTGGGGGCTGTAGAGATGGCTCAGTGGTTAAGAACACTGATTGTTCTTGCAGAAGACCCAGGTTTGAATCCCAGCACCCACATGACAGCTAACAACTGTCTATAACTCCAGTTCCAGGGGATCCGACAGCCTCTTCTGACCTCCATGGGCATTGCACAACATGGGTGCACTTACCTACTTGCAGGCAATACACGCAAACACATAAAATAAAAATAATAAAAATTTAAAAAATTAAAAAAAAAAGATTCCAAAGTAGTTACACAATCTCCAAATGGAGACAAATGCATGTTAAAAAATTTAGGCCATGCTGGGTGTGGTGGCACTCGGTAGGCAGGGACAGGCAGATGTCTGTGAGTTCTAGGCCAGCTGGTGATACAGGGAGACCCTGTCTCAAAAAGGAAAAAAAAAATTCAGGCCCATCTAGTGTGGTGGCCCATGCCTTTGATCTCACTTGAGAGGCAGAGGTAAGCAGATCTCTGTGAATCTGAGGTGATCCTGGTCTACATAGCAAGCTCAAAGACTAGGCAGGGCTACATAGTGCAAACAAAACAGGCCAATGAGATGGCTTAGCAGGTAAAGGCACTTACTGCCAAGTCTGACAACCTCAGTTGAATTCCTAGAATCCACATGGTAGGGGAGAACTAACCCCTGCAAGATGTTCTCTGACCTCTACAAGCATGTAGCGGCACACACACACATGCACATGCACACACTAAAATTTAAAATCCAGAGCATGGGCATGGTGACAATACACCTGTTAATACCATAACTCAGGAGGCAAAGGTACAATGATCACAAATTCAAGGCTAGTTTAGGCTACCAAGCAAATTCCAAGCTAGCCTGGGCTACACAAGAAACTCTGTCTCAAAACCAAACAAAACCAAACAAAATGAAACAATATTATGGTCTAGGTTATGAAGAGCTTTGCTAAAGAAATTAATTTCTTGGGCATCTCTTCTTTATTGGGCTATGGATGATTACAGTAAAAGAGATTTTTTGTTTTTGTCTTTTTGAGACAGGGTCTCCCTGTAGCCCCAGCTGGCCTAGAACTCGCTATGTAGACCAGACTGGCCTCAAACTCACAGAGATCCACCTGCATCTGCCTCCAGAGTGCTGGGATTAAAGGTGTGTGCCACCCGGTCCGGCAAGATTAATATACTTTTTTATTAATTACATTTATTTTTTTCTGTGTGTGTGTGTGTGTGTGTGTGTGTGTGTGTGTGTGGGTGTGTGCTACAGCATGTCTAGAGAGGTCAAAGGACAATTTTTGGGAGTCAGTTCTCTCCTTCTACCATGTGGGTTCCAGGATTCAAACTAAGGTCATCAAGCTTGGGGGCAAGCACCTTTATCCACTGAACCATGTTGTCTCAAGCTGCTAAAATAGCACAATAAGACCAGAATCTCTACCTTATAGAAGTATTTACATAAATTTATCATCCAGACATCAAACCTTGGCCTTCTGCATGTTAGGCAAGTATTCTACCACTGAGCTACATCCCCAGCCCCTAGAAAGTATTAAATACTTTACCTATTTCCACTTCAGTGAGACAGTTATTGATCTTCTTAAGTATGTTGTCCATCTCATTTATCTTAATCTGAAGTTTCTCCTTCTCATTCTAAACACAAAATATTATAGATTGTAAGGTTTAACCTCCAAACAAAACATTATAATGGTTTGAGGCTGGGCGTGATGGTGCAAGCCTTTAATCCCAGCACTCAGGAGGCAGAGGCAGGTGGATTTCTGGGATTTTGAGGCCAGGCTGATCTACATAGTGAGTTCCAGGCCAGCTGAGGCTACAGGGAGACCCTGCCTCAAAAAGACCAAAACAACAACAAAAAACATATTACAATGGTTCAAATTGTCAAAATAACTGCTATTGTCATGATATATAAATAGGCAAATCTTGTTTTGCTTATTTCCTTAACAATACTGGGGGTTGAATGTAGGGGACTGAACATGTTGGTCACATGATCTACTGCTGCGCCTTAAACTTTTTTCACTTTTTATTTTGAGATAGGATCTTGCTAAATTGCCCAGGCAAGCCTTGAACTTGTGATATTATTGCCTTAGATTCTCAAGTAGTTGGGGTTATAGGACTGTTGCACCAGGTCAACATGAACAGGCAAATATTTTGGGGTTTTTTTTTTGGTCTTTTTGAGACATGTATGAGTATTGCCTGTATGTAGGGAGGTGCACCTGTGCATGAAATGCCAGAGGAGGCCTAAAAAGGGTGTTGGATTTCCAGGAACCAAATTCATAGATGGTTGTCAGCTGTCATGTGGGTGCTGGGAACTGAACCAGGTCCTCTGCAAGAGGAGCCAGTGCTTTTAACTTCTGAACCATTTCTCCAACAATAACAAAATCTTAAAATTAAAGTCAAGGTTTTCAGTCTGGACTTAAAAATTTTTTAATTAATTTTAAAAGAAATGAGTAAATTTTGTACTTCTTTTTATTCAGTATTTCCTTTCTATATGTGTTTCATGGAATATAGGATATTAGTATTTATTAGAAAAAAGGTTGTTTAAAATTTTTATCGATGGTCAGACAGACACAGGAAACACGGATCAAACAGAATTACAGCCTTTTGGGTTTGGGGGGTTTGTTTGAAAACAGGCTGTGGCCTAGGCTGGACTTAAACTTATGCCAATACTCCTGCCTCAGCCTCCTGTAGGTATGTGCCATCAAGCAAAGCTAATTTTAGCTAAATTTTTTTTTTAAAAATTATATTTCTGTAAAAGGGGATACTGTATGCAACACTGGCCATACTTATTTGTCAGTTCGTTTTTGTTTTGGTTTTTGAGACAGGGTCTCCGTGTAGTCCCACCTGGCCCTGGAACTCACTATGTGGACCAAGCTATCCTTGACCTCACAGATATTCACCTTTCTCTGACTCTCAAGGCTGGGATTAAAGGCCTGTGCCAGCATGCTCAGCTCTACCTTTTTTTTGAGACAGGGTCTCTCTATATAGCCCTGGCTTGCCTAGAACTTACTATGTAGACTATGTAGACCAGGCTGGCCTCAAAACTTGAATTCAAGGTGTATACCACAATGCCTGGCCTCAGTGGAAAATCTTTTTTTGAGCCAGGGTCTCCCTGTAGCCCCAGCTGGTCTGAAACTTTCAATGTAGACCAGGCTGGCCTCAAACTTACAGAGATCTGCCTGCCTCTGCCTCCCAAATGCACCACCACGCCCAGCCATTTTTTTTTTTTTTGAAACAGGGTCTCCCTGTAGCCCCAGCTGGCCTGGCCTAGAACTCACTACGTAGACCAGGCTGGCCTTGAACTCACAGAGATCTGCCTGCCTCTGCCTCCCAAGTACTGGGACTACAGGTGTGCACCACCATGCCCAGCTGGAAAAATCTTTTAAACAGGGTTTTCTCTTGCTCTCTCAATTTTTTAAACAGAGTTCTATAGGAGATTGAATGCTATACAAATGTTTTACCACTAAGCTATACCCTAAACACTATGTAGAACCTTTTAAAAGGATGATCATTTGGGGAAATGCTAAACACATGCACATACATACACAGCTGACTAGGGATATAAGGATGATAATATAGTTTGTAGCAATGGGAGCACAGAATAACAAATATTTTATTCCGACATGTATAATGGATGACATTATGTATGAGATTAATATAAGCCCATATTAATAACTATATTTTAGTTTATTTACAATGTCAAGATTTGACAATTTTGATTAACTGAGTCTCATTTTTTTTTTTTTTTTTTTTGGTCTTTTTGAGACAGGGTCTCCCTGTAGCCCCAGCTGTCCTGGAACTCGCTATGTAGACCAGGCTGGCCTCTAACTCACAAAGATCCACCTGCCTCTGCCTCCCAAGTGCTGGGACTAAAGGTGTGCGCCACCACACCTGGCTGAGTCTCACTTTAAAAAAAAATTTTTTTTCCCTTTTTGAGACAGGATCTCCCTGTAGCCCAGCTGGCCTGGAACTCACAGACCTGCCTGCTTCTGCTTCCCATGCCTGGTGATTATAAACAATTTTTTATCCAAGTCTCATTCATATGTCTCCTAAGAAGCATGCTTCATATTCTATACCCACTATTATACAACTTTAACAAATTTTTCTATATGTTAACTGTATTGAATTACCTGAGCTGAATGCACCAACTTGCTATACAGAGCCACTTTACCCTGGTGAGTGAAGATTTTTGTCATCTTGGTATAACATGATTTTAATTTGTTAAGGTAAATCCCAAAGTTCTTCAGCTGTATGAGAAAGTTAAGAGTACATTACTAAAACAAATGATAAATGATAAAGTAAATGGTCTGGGAAGGCAGGTTCAGCTGCCAGTACTGGGCTTTGCCCACTCTAGGTTCTAATTCCCAAGGCAAGATACTTTTTTTCTTTTGTCTTTTTGAGACAGGGTCTCCCTGTAGCAGCTGGTCTGGAACTCAATATGTAGACCAGGCTGGCCTTGAACTCAAAGAGATATGCCTGTCTCTGTCTCCCAGGTGCTGGGATTAAAGGCGTGCGCCACCATGCCCGGCCAAGGCAAGAGGCTTTTAATTGGCAAATTTAATTCCCTGGCTGGTCTGAAACTCACTATGTAGACCAGACTGGTCTTGAACTTGTGTCCTTCGGCCTATACCTCTGCAGTCATGGGATTACAGTTATGTGCCACCACGTTTGGCTTCTGTATACTTATTTAACAGTACAATGATTCTTTTTTGATTGTTGCCTTTAATTCACTTATTCATTTTATGAACTAGAAATGACTAGCTCTTAATGAACAAAACAGTACTATGTATCAGGGCACAGGTAAGATGGGTTGCTAATATCTAATCAATTAAGGAAAATCTTTCTTCATTTAAATCTAAGTGAAAGACAAATGAAATTTCAAATATATTTTACATGTTACTCATCACAGATTTGAAAAGATTATAAATGAATAATTACTTGAGCATAATGAAATAAGACTGTGGTAGCATACTACATCTAAGAAATAAGTTAAAGAATTCATTACTGCTCATTGAGTAACAGTTATTGCTTATTTCTAAAAGTTTGTGTTAATTCTTATTCAGAAAATGGGACAAAAGTACCTCTTCATCAGAGTAGTTTTTCATTTTTTCCCACAGGTTCTTATTTACATCAATCAATAGTTTATCTTGGTTCAATGCAGATACCTTTAATCTAAAATAAGCAAAGAAATTAGTATAGGGTTTAGAAATCAGCATGAATAAGTCAGCTTAAATCTATAGCCAAATTTATTTCTAGTTTTTCTTAAATAAAAAGAGGAAAATTCATTCAAGAAACATGGCCAGTCTTACTATTCAACACTTAAACAATAACAGTTCAAGAATGTTATAAATCTGGGGCTGGAGAGATGGCTCAGCAGTTGAGAACACTGCTCTTGCAGAGGACCTGGGTTCGATTCCTAGCACCTACATGGCAGCTATGAACCGTCCTTAACTCCAGTTCCAGGGGAATCCAAAGCCCTCTTCTGACCTCTGTGGCATTGCATGATACAGATGCACTCATGTACATGCAGGCAATACACTCATACACATAAAATAAAAATAATAAAATATTTATAAAAAAAATAGCGCTGGGCATGGTGGCATTGGACACCCCCCACAGCCCAAATCCAGAGGTCTCCTTTACTGACTGCTAAGGATTTCTTAAGCATCAGAAATCAGGAATATCTCTAATCAAGCTGAAAACCTAAATTAATCATCACACTTGATCTTAAAAAAAAAAAAAAAAAAAAAAAGGTAAGCTGATGTTGTGGAACACACCTGTAGTTCTAGTATTAGGATGTAAAGGAGGCAGGATTACTTGAGTTCAAGAACAGCTTAAACTACAAAACCTGTATTCTAAATTAGCTAGGCACATAATGAAACCTTGTTCCAAAAAAAAAAAAAAAAAAAAAACTGGCTGGGCATGGTGGTGCACACCTTTAATCCCAGCACTCGGGAGGCAGGCAAACTCTATGAGGTCAAGGCCAGGCTGGGCTACCTAGTGGCATCCAGGCCAGCTGGGGCTACAGGGAGACCCTGTCTCAAAAAGACCAAAAAAAAAAAAAAAAAAAAAAAAAAAAACCAAGAAAGAAAGAAGCTATCATAATTTCAGTATTTGGTAATAAGTGGAGGAAGCAAATCTTTTTGGGGGGGGTGGGAGTATATTTTGAGACAGTCTCCTTATAGCCCCAGCTGGCCTGGAACTCACTATGGAGACCAGCTTGGCCTCAGCTCACAGAGATCCACCTGCCTCTGCTTGGCTATTTCTATTTTTTCTATTTTATTTAATGTGTATGGATTCCCTTAGATTAAAAAAA